CTAGCAAGGGCACGAAGTAAAGATGAGGAACTTACACGAAAAAGCGAATGAACGGAATATGATCATGAGCAAATATAATAACTTTGTCACATAGGAACTTGAATTGTTGTGAACTTGTCGTTCTTTTTTTTGTAATAACTTGGGAGAAGACTGTTAAGGAAGGAAATAGTGGTGTTACCTATTAATGGATTGTAGAAAAACCACACCTGCAGAAAAAGGTATGAGGAATAATTTTGTTTTGGTCAATGTATGAGGAAAAAGTATGAGGAATAATTTGTTCATGTTTTCAAGAGGGAAAAAGTTGCCATGGGATGAGTAGCGATCGATCTGATTCAAAGAGTGGTTGAATAAATCTGATTTTGAGTTTTGGCACTTAGTTTTGAAGTAGTAGCAATATCAGTGACAATGCATATTCCCTTTTACAGTTTAGCAAGGTGGTTGATGTCAGAAATCGCATTGCTGATCTTGATCAAGGGGAATTGGAAATTGAGCCTATTACCGAGCTTGACCTTCTCACCGCCGATAAAGTATATTCTGTTCTTCAGATTTGTCGTAAGTACATTCAGCTAGAGGATGAGGAGAAAGAAATTCTGGTGTGCTAGACTTCTTTAACATGTTTATGGAGTATTCATGTGAGTAGATTGATACCATATCGGCTGTTTGGAAGAATATCTTTCTTTTCCATTCCTCGGATGAGTTTATCTCGTGGTATCTTAGGAGACCTTCTCTACCATTTGAAGAAGACATTCATGCGATACGAGCTGCATCAAAGAAAGGATAGTCATCAGGGACGAAACATAAGTATAAACTTGAGTCGCACACTAATTGAAAAAAAAAAAAAAATCAATGGAAAAGCTAGGCCGGGATCATTCGTCTCCACCAAAGTCTCAATGAAGCAAATGCAAGAAACTGTTTACAAGAAGAAACTGAAGGGAAAGAGTGAAGACAATGGGAATGGAAGCCCATAATTTATAGATAAGAAAGGGAACCCTAAAAATGATATGTAGCGTCTTGAGAAACCGATTGGATCATAAGTGGGAATTGGGTGAAGACTACACACAACAAGGGGGCGAGTCAAGGAGCGCAACACCTCCTCAGAACGATGGACCCATCTCGAAAACGACACATTGCCGAAGAAGAAGCACGCCGAAAATGATGCGCATGATCCAATGTCGTATAAAATACATGAGTATATATGATCACAAAAAGGTTCATAGCCAATCGAAAAGAAGCTTAGGGTCCAAAAAAAATGGAAAACAAAGTTTGCCAGGAAAACAACATGGTCTCCCAAAGTTTCTAGTCCGAGGTAACGCAATGTGATCAACACTTCGACAGCGGGATTATATCCCTTGACAAAGACTTCGTATCACTCAAACATTATGTTTTTCCTTTGTCTCACCCCTAAATTTCTCTACTCAAACGTTCTGATACACTATGGACCAATGCTAGCTCAACCTAGAGTTACCT